TGAATGGTTGTAAATATGTCTACTTTTTACATTTTAATAAAAAAGTGGGTCCATAAAACATTTTAACATGTTTGTTTCATTATTAATTTTTTTAAAAACTTAGGAGTATTAAAGAATAATATGTGAGCATAAACCCTCACAAACAAACGTAAAATATTGTATGATTTCAAGCATTCGATTTGACTAAACTTATAGATTTGAAGGGATACTAAATCATAGTATGGGAGCCTAAACCCTCACAAACGAACGTACAATATTATATGATTTAAAACATTCTAGTTGACTAATTTAGTGGATTTAAAGAAATACTAAATTCTCACAGACGAACGTAAAATATTGAATAATTTAAAACACTTGATTTGAATAATTTATAGATTTGAAAGGGGTAATAAACCTTAACATGGGAGCATAAATCCTAATATGAGAACATAAAAAGTAGACATATATACAATCATTAGTAATATTAATTCAATTATTTTTAATTCATTTTTAATTTAGTTGTTTTATTTAGATAATATTAATTGTTTAGTTAGATTACATAGCAAATTTTGATAGGTTAATTAAGAGGTGTGAACCCAAAAAGTTTTCTTCGGATTCTTAGTCTAGTATATATATCAATTATACGGTGTCTAATGACTTTAGTTTCTAAGCAGTCTTAGCACAAGACTATTTTGATAAGTGTGTACTACGTATCTTCTACACAAAGTAAAAAACCTTTGATAAGCGTTGTGGTAAGAAAGTTTTTTTTAAAGTTTTTTTTTCATATGTGTCCGATACCACAACGCTTATCAAAAGTTTTTTTACATACAAATCCTTTGTTCGTTTAAAAGATATTACACCATTATTATATAGGTTAATTTTGAATCCCATATTCTACCGCTTATACTTCTTACCTCAACGTCAAAAAAAAAAATACTTCTTACCTCATTACTACATTATTCAGGGGTTGATTGGTTCACCCGCTATCATCCGCAAACGTTGCGTTTGCGGGTGGTAGCGGTTGTTGGCGTTAGACAACAATCATGGTAAACGTTTTATACCATTCTTTATCGCTCCAAACCTCTCAAATCCAAAAACTGTTTCCCTCGAA